GTGTTCCTACATCCTGCACACTGCACATACTGAATGCTATATGTTCTTCATTAATATTCTGAATAGAACAAAATAATCCTGCCTATTCTTCAATTACGATTTGCCCAAACAGGATGTTGACTGTTTTAGCGGAATATACCAGTCAGTTCTTTATGTCAATCCTGACCTAATCCCAACACGGTATCTTTATAAACAAATACGATAAGACAAAAAATATTAAACTGCTCTCCTTATCACATCACCAACAAAAGGTGATATGATAAGCTGAAGGGCACTTCGTAGATAGTTTCACAAGATCCAATAGAGCAACCTGAAGTAGCTAATTAAGTGCGTGCACAATATTTTGTTTTTGTATTCTCCATTAATTTTCGACCATGCAAATAAGTAATAATTTAAAAAACATTAATAAAAATATTTTTAGTGATAATATATATAATTACGTCCACTTAGGGTAAGATAATGTATATTTTGGTAGGGATCCCTTATAGTTCGGGGCTCACTTAGTGACCGAAAACAAAGTTAGGTTATGTCATCTTTTTCTTCTAATTGGTTTGATATATTTGTACCACCTTAGAATTTTAACTTTATTATATTTACACTATTTAAAGGTGGTGTAACTCAAACGCACCACTATCCTATATGTTTTCATATCACTTAGTGCATATGTAATATAGAAAATTCAATTTGAGGTTTTTTGGTAAAATGTTTAGAATTCAATTTGAAGTTAATTGCATGAAATAAAGCAATCAAGCAAGCAGAAAACGAATATGGATAGGGCTTTATTTGCTTACGACCATACACTTTTCATGTGTGTTTTTACTAAAATATGAAATCTTGTTATATGTAAGCTGCACACGCACACAAATATTTTTGATATCTCTTAGTAGATTCCATCTGTTTTATATTTTTTATATATCACTTAGGAGATCTATATAGAACTTAGTGCCTAGCTAGTGCATGTAATAGTAATTTCATTGATTGTTTTTAATTGATTTTATTTAATATTTCCGGGGACTATGATAAATCCTTTTTGTGCACATGGGACTATGATAAATCCAAGTAGTACAAATTAGATTGTACGTAAAATTTTCGACTGTTCTCTAGATTTGCAGGTAGTGTATGTGAAATGAAACTTCTTAATTATATATAACTTGTGACATTAATTTTGTTAGCAAAAAAAAAACTTGTGACAATAATTTTTTACTTCAAGTTCATATATAATCTAGAAACAAAGGTGAAACACACGTTGCAGTGAAATGGATGTACGAAGGTATCAACATCAGTACGTACTTGTGCGATGAGTACAGCTTTGTAGAACAAAATATATGCAACTAATCATTTAACTTGAAAGTTAGGTCATTCTTCCATCTCTTTTTTTTTTTTTTTTTTTTTTTTTTTTTTTTTTTTTTTTTTTTTTTTT